AGCTCATCAGTCCATTTTTCTCTGGATATGTTGTTAATTGTTTGGCCACCATTCCTTCTCTGGCTTTACCTAAACATGATGTAAGGGCAATTGGCCTGTACGCATCAAGTCGTATTCACAGATTCCCTGGTTTCCATGCTGCGACTGCAGCCACACGTTTCAGCTTCATTGGTAGCTCACCTCTTCCCCACACACCGTTTGTATGGTTTTAGTGGTATTTTCAGACTTCCTTCATCCAGGTGTTTTAGCATTTCGTTACAGACACCATCTTTCCATGATGCAGAGGTCTGGTTTTAAATCGATAGCTTTTTAAAGATCCCTTATGGCAAAGATTTTGTTTAATATGGTATTCTCATCTTCCTACCAGTTCCGGCAGTCATCTTAGGTGGGGTAGCTGGGAAGAGCCAACACATGAATTACCTCACTACCCACCCTTAAATAGAATTTGCATAAAATGGGAGTCCTTCTGTAGTTTGACTCCCTCCCAGCTTCTCATGAAAAATTACAGAAATCAAGATGAGTTCCAATATCAGGTGACATAGTCTCTGTAGCAGGCTGTCCAATGGGGAGTGCAAAGGAAGCGGTTGCCCTGGGACCCAGTGACTCAAAGGGGCTTGAGGCTTGGCAGTACCAGGACCCCAGAGCCCTTTAAATCACTGCCTGGAGTACTGTCCATCTATTAGACAAGGCATGGGCTAAATCAGGCCCAGGGCCCGGATGAGGCCCACCAAGCATTTCTCTCCCAGCTGATTAGCAGAGGAGAATGCTTACAGCCCACAGCATGTTTTCAGCTGCCACCCTACCTTGCTCCATCCTGCAGCTGAGCTGCTTCCAGGATTCTCTTCCTCGCTATGCAGAGAGGGGGAGGAGGTGCTGAAGTCAAGGTGTTCCCCTGCCCGGCACCCCATCTCTGCAGAGCAGGGGTGGGGGAAACGCACAGCGGAGCTGCTCCAATCTAAAGCATGGATGGTAAGTGGCTCAGAGGAGTGCAGAGCAGGGAAGGGGGGGAGACAACAGAGCAGGACAAATTTCCCTTAAAGAGATAGAGCATGGCTTCTCTCATCAGAAACTTACCCAGCAACAGCCAACACACCCAGTCTGTGTATCACTGTCTCTATGCCACTCACACACAGTCACTGTCACATACACACTGCCGCATACGCTACTGATAAGTCGTTAATATGTAGGTACTTTCCTGCTGCTTGAACTACCATTTTAATTTTCTGGTTTTTCCCTTGCTAGTAGGGATGTTGAAGGTTAACCAGCATACTTACTGGCTAACCAGTTAACCAGAGCCTTCCATCCCACATGGCAGCCCAGCTAGCATGGCCGTGGTGTGCAGCAGTCCCAGAACAGTCCCTGCTACACTTGTCACTGCCATGGCGGGGCCAGAGCAGACCCTTCCACCCATATCACAGCGGGGCCAGGGCAGTCCTCACCACCTCTGGCAGAAAAGGAGCAACCCCTGCAGCCAGTGGTTAACTGATTAAACAGCACAGTAAGGCAGTATGGTAACCAGAGACTTTGTATGTAATGAAAACCTACTTGCCAGAGGATGTTGTGAAGACCAGAACTTTAACAGGTTCAAAAAAGAACTAGATAAATTCATGGAGGTTATGTCCATCAATGACTATTAGCCAGGATGGGTAAGAATGGTGTCTCCAGCTTCTGTTTGTCAGGGACTGGAAATGGATGACAATCCCTTGATGATTACCTGTTTCTGTTCGCTCCCTGTGGGGCACTTGGCATTGGCCACTGCCAGAAGACAGGATTCTGGGCTAGATGGACCTTTGGTCTGACCCAGTGGTCCCCAACACGGTGCCCGCGGGGGCATTTGTGTGCGCCTGCCAAGTGCTCATGAGCGAACAGTCACGCCCCCTGGCGCCCGGCAACCTCTAATGGTTGGGGACCACTGGTCCGACCCAATTTGACTTTTCTTATGTTCTTAAACAAACTTCTCTTAGTAGCTTCTGCTTTATTTTGAATCTCTCTTGCTTAGCTACTATACTAGGGGTCGGCAGTGTTTCAGAAGTGGCATGCCAAGATTTAACTTATTCACTTCTATTTATGGATCAGGGTGCCAGGAGGAGGAAGTGGGGGGAGGGCCAGGCTGGATACGGTGACAATACTTTCAGAACTAGCTGCAGTTAGGGAGAACGGTTTAATTTAAATTATTAAACAGACTGAGCATTTTAACTTTCTCATGTTAGTTTATCAATTTTCATTTTAAAGAAAGTAAAACATTTATGTCCAACACAAAAAGTTTCAATGTTTTCTTTATTATGGCAGAGGTGGGGAACCTTTATTGAGTCGGGGGCCACTGACCCACAGAAAAAATCAGTTGGAAACCACACAAGAGAGAAGCAAAAAAAACCCTCCAAAAACCCCCAACCCTCACTGATGTTGCCCCCAACTGAGACACCTCACTCCTCTGATGCTCCAACCCCACGGTGGGAGGAGATGGGACAAAGAGGAGTGAGGTTCAGGGCTTCCCATAGGTCGGATTTACTTTTCTGAGGTTCCAGAGTTAGTGGATTTTATGGACCCCCTTAGGCTCTGGGATAGGGACAAAAATGAGGGGTTCGGTGTGTAAGACAGGGCTGCCAGTATGTGGGATAGGGATGTGGAGCAGGATCTGGGAGGGAGGTAGAGTGCAGAAGGGGGAGAAGTTATGAGGTCTGGGTGGGAGTTAGGGTGCAGAAGCAGGCTGGGAGCAGGGTGTCTGGCCAGGTGGTGGGAGCAGGAGCAAGGGAGGGTGCACTGTGTGGCTAGGAGGGAGAGTGCAGGAGCAACAGTGGATGCAGTAGCAGGGTGAGTGTAGATGTCTGACCAGGCCAGGGGGGAGGGTGCAGGACCAGGATGGGGGTAGGGTGTCTGGCCAGGAAGGAGGGTGCAGGAACAAGGGAGGGTATCAGAGCAAGCTGGGGGAGTGGGGTCTTGGTGGGGGGAGGGGAGTGAACGAGGGG